AATACTAGTATAGAAGAAGGAAGAAGGAGCTAAGGGGAGGACCTAAAAAGAGTTATAAAAAGAAGGGTAGGGGTAAGAGGGTAAGTAGAAGTAGCGATAGCTTCCTATAAAAGTAGCGAGAGATAAGACGGATATACTAGTAATAGCTAGAATAGAGGGGAAAACCTAGTAAAAATCTTAGTTGTTATAAGGATATTAATAGCTTCTTTAAGTAAGATCTTCTTTATTAATTAAGATACTAAAGGGATATAAAAAGGGGTATTAAATAAAGGAAAGAAGGATAATTAAGGGAATATAATAATTACTCCCTTACTATAACTACTGCCCCTATAAGAATTAAAGAACTTTGCCTTACCTATCCGACCCCTTACTTTTAATTTTACCTCTATATATTTTTATATACTTCTTATATCTCTCTTTATAAGAATATTTAAGTACTATTTAGCTTAAGTTTAGGTTAAGCTCTACTTATATATAGGTTTACTTTTATTATAAAGTAGTGCCTAATTTATATTCTTAGAGATATCTCTTAGTAATAGGGACCTAGGAAGCTAAAAAAACCCGGTGTAGAAGAAGGAGCTAAAAAGAGGTATTAAGAGGAGGGTAAGGGCGTAAGGGGAAGTAAAAGTAGTAATAGCTTTTTATAGAAGTAGCGAGAGATAAAATAGATATACTAGTAATAGCTAGAATAAAAGGGAAAAACTAGTAAAAAGCTTAGTAGTTAAGAGGATATTAATAGCTTCTTTAAGTAGGATCTTCTTTATTAATTAAGATACTAGATAGGTATAAAGAATAGCGTTAAATAGAGGAAAGAAGGATAATTAAGGTAATATAATAATTACTCCCTTACTATAACTACTACCCTTATAAGAATTAAATAACTTTGCCCTACCTATCTAACCCCTTACTTTTACTTTTACCTTTATATATTTTATATATACTTCTTATATCTCTCTTTACGAGAACTTTAGCTTAACTTTAATATAGTTACTATAGTATAACCTTAGCCCTCTATAGGTATAGCTTATAATAATACCCCTTAAAGTAATATAAATAGATATATAATAGTTAAGACTATTAATAAGGGCTTAGGCCCTTATTAGCCTTATTATAGCCTTAGAGGCTATATATAAGTAATAATATAAAAATTAAACCCTTATAGTATAGTAGTTATATACCTAAGAGGACTACTAGCCTAGCTAAAGGCCGGTATTAATAAAAAATAGCCCGCTAAGCCTTATAATAGAAAAATAAGGTAGAGCCTAGGAAGATATTATTATAGGATAAGGTTAAGGATAATTATATAATTAACTATTAACTAAAAAAAACGCTTATACTACTAATTAACGCTATATACCCCGCGTATATAAAGGAGTTACTTTCTAAGGTTACTTTATAGTAGGGCTAATATAATTCCGACTAACTAAAATAATACTTAAGATAACCGGCGTAAGATTCCTATATATTATAACTACGACTTAGTATAAGGGCGGACTAGCTATAATAGAGGGGACGGTTTTCCTCTAAGTACTTTAGTTTTCCCCTCTTATTTAACGCTAAAGTTTTAGATACCTCTAGATAGGTTACTAGTATAATCTTAATAATAATAATATAAAAAGTAAAGATAGATATATATTAGTAAGGCTATTATAAGCTTCTTTACTATAATAAAGAGGGTAAAGCCTTATACTTATATAATTATATTATAAGCAGCTTATACCTCTTAAAAGGATAAGAAGGTCTAGTTAAGAAATATACTATAGCGATAGCTATATATAGTGTAAATAGTTATATAAATAGCTTTAAATTAGTAAAGTTAGCTAAGATATAATTTTATTTAAGGTAAAGAGTTTAAAATAGGTATAGGGAATATACGTAATAAATTATATAGTATTAGCACTACGCTTTAACTAGCTATACTTCCTTATAAAAAGGTTTACTAGATCGCTAGAATAGTTTACTAGCTAGTTAGGGCCTAAATTTCTTATCTACCTAGATATTCTCTTACCTACCGGGGTAGTCCCTACCCCTTTAAACTGCCTACTATCTAATACCGGCTCTATATCTTTTATATATATTCTAGGTAGGGGGGGCGTATTTATATACTATCGTACTATACTTAAAAGGGCTTAATTAGTAGCTAGATAATATATATAACTAAGTACTATCTCCGCGCTACCTAGTACGCCGCTATTCTCTTTTTAGGTATACGTTATAGTCCCCTTACTTTTAGGTGCTTAAACAGCGTACTCTATATAGAGTATATACCTAGTTAGCCTAATACTAGTCTAAAGCTATAAGGATAGAGATAGGTTCTTATAAGCAGAGGCTTAAGAGCATAGTAGAAGAAATAAGGGCTAAGAAAGGTAAACTTAGTAATATAGATCTTAGTCTATTTATTAGGATAAGAAAGGGGCTTTATATAGGTATAGTAACTATAAATAGCTAGCTAAAAGAGGGCATTAAAATATCCCTATACTTAAGTTAGGTCTGCCTTATATCCTTTAGCTAGGGGAGTCAGGTTAGTTAGTTAGACCCCTTATGCATGACTATTGGGTCTACTAGGCACGACTCTGGCCTCTTATGCCCACTCTCCTTAACAGGTTCAAACTCCCCGACCAGTGACGTTTTTCAAGGATTATCACCTTTATCGGAAGCTGAGACACGTAACGTCGAGTGGGTCATGGCTCAGCACTCTGAGCTTTCATGGTTCATTGATCTGCACTCGGCTCTTGGTGTCACGCTTTGGGGCTGGGGTGATGATATCTCGCAATCCACAGATCCAGGGCAGAATTTCATGAACAAAACCTACGATGGCAAACGGGGCCTTGTCACGGACACAATCCGCAGCCGTTATCAAGAGTATTCTCGAAGAAGATGACATCAACAGCCAACAGACTATCGCGCAACGCATTAGCGACGTAATGTCCGCTACTGGCGACGTTCGATATGTTTCAGGGGGCAGACCATTGACTTATATGTCAATAGTGGTACCGCCGCCGACTTCGCGCTTGCTAATTATTATAGCCGAAAGTGGGACGCGAACCGCATTAATGGCCAAACCATTGAGTTTGGCGAGTTCAGTGACTTTGGCTGCCCCTTCTACCCAACTGAAAATTCATTTCATGATTCTTTGCGGCACACAGCCGCGGGAATAATGGAGCTATTGCTCAACGCGGCTGGTCTGGCTGGCGAGATAAAGCGGCGGAAGTGCGCCAACTCAACGGCTGAAAGCGCAGCACCATTGTGCGGGATTTAAAGAGCACTGTCGGCTTCTTACCAGAATAAGGGGCCAGTTCACGTTATACACGCTTAGTTATAGGTATATTAGAGGAAAGCCATAAGTACAAAGTACTCACATACGTGGGCATTGTATGCGCAATGTGTTTGCGCCGGGGCGGCTTCAGTTGCCTGTGTACCGATACGTTTGAAGGCGCGAGGAAAAGTTAAGAGTATTGTTATTTAGACTGACACTTCTGTGTATTCGTATAGACACTGTTCTTATAATTCCTAACATGAACGCCTACACCGTGTATTTTACAAAAAGAAAAGAATTAGTAAAACAGGAAGTCAAATTGCCTAAAATTTCTCAAGTTAATCTAGTGAGATATATCTTTTTTGCATGCATTTCTATTCTGGAGCACCGGCATGTTCATGGGCCACTTTGATTAGTCTTCACCACCCTCTCGGCCTCAATGCCGCATGATGGACCAGAAGCAGAGTCGACAACAGGCCGTGCCTTGGACAACCCCATTTGTCACTTCGGCCTCAGTCTGCCCACGCAAACAACGCCACCGCAGGAACTGATCTTGTTCCTTTACCCTATGTCATGTCTTTGGTCTAAGTCCCCGTCCCGGTCGATGACGTGCGCACGACTCGAGGGTGGTCTCGGCCGGGGCTATTGACGGGCGTTACTATGCACCGTCTACGAAGCATTATAAGCGGATCCCTTGGCAGACTGCATTAACTACTACTCTGTACGAATATGCTGGAATAAGAGCCCCGCTCTGCGGCGCGCGGTGCCCCGGACGGCAGAGGCAGCAGCCGATCAGAGGAGGCTGACTGGTCCTTCGACAGTGTACAGTAGTAGGTATACTAGGACAAACCAAGGGCCTTGGTGGATGTTTCGAGGTCGCTGCATTGTCCTTTTCCTATCCGTATAGCTGAGCTGTATTCTGTACTCTGCAACGTGCCGGTGCCATGGTCCAATCATGTACGGCGTGTAGTACTTGAGTACACACACCGCTCCGTCGCCGCCCCGCGCCGGCAACGAACCCGGGCCAGCCGACTCGCGGGGAAACCCCTCACGTGTGCCTGTCCTGCATCATTAGTATGTAGGTACATGCCTATCTTTTAGATATACAGTGACGGAATAAGTTAGACTACAGTACGGAGCAGTGAGTAGATACGTAGACACAGGGAGAGAGAGGTACTTCCTGTACTACCTAGTCTGAATGTCTCAAGTGCGGCCCAGGAAGGATCGGGGGCCCACTAACCCCACCTTCCCCAGCCACGGCCCACGTGACTCATCTTCAGAGCCAGCGACCAATCATATGGCGGACCAACTCTCTCCTCGTCCGGCCCCCCGCTCCTCGTGTTTGCCTCTTTTGCAACGGCAGCAGCCTGAAAAAAACACCGACGCTTCGGATGAACCAAGGCCTTTCCCCTGGCGCAAACCCAATCCTCCTCAACCAACGCTGCTCGCTCTCCTCCGCCTCCGCATTCGGCCCTCAGCTCGGCCCTCAGCTCGGCCCTCAGCAATCCAGTTCCCTCGCCCGTCCATCTCGACCAGTACCTTTCCCGGCATCGACACCAGGTACTCTTCTCCCGTCTCCATGCTGTGCTAGGTACGGCATGCTCCCCACCCCTTCGGTATCCGCGACACCGTCGACGAACAAATCCCCATCGCCGCGCCTCTCGCCCACACCTCTCGCCCACACCTCGCGCCCACGCCCTCCCCGCCACGGCGCTGCTCTGGCCGGCTCCGCGACACCCGGCGCATGGACGGCCCTTCGATTGCCGCTCGCGGGGCCGCCTCCACGAGCCCGACCAGCCCTGCCAGCTCCCGCCATGGCAGTGGCGGCCCCAAGCGCAAGAGGAGCAGCGGCCTCGTCGGCGCAGAGAGCAGTCCCGGCAGCTATCTCGACGATGATCACGCCGACGCCGCAGACCACGACAAGAAGCGCCAGCCCGGCGTCAAGCGGGCCTGTAACGAGTGTCGCCAGCAAAAGGTGAGTCACTCCACTAGCTTTGGCTTACCTTGGTCCATGCTGACGGCCATTCAGCTGCGCTGCGATGTCGTCCAAGACCCCTTCCGCGGTTGCACCAGGTGCAAGCGTCTAAAGCTCGAGTGCAAGATCGAATCCAACTTCAAGCGCGTTGGCAAGCGTTCCAAGCATGCCGAGATGGAAAAAGAAATCGAGCGCTTGCGCCGCAACGTTGCCCGTGCCCAGTCACAAGGCTATGTCCTCGACGACGACGATGTCGACTCGCCCATCGCGGCAAGCACTGCCGCCTATACCCATACCCGAAATACCTCCTTGATGGGCTCTGACGAGGCCGTCTCGTCGTTGCTTCACCTTAAGCGCGGAGGCTCCTACAACGTCCAACAACATTACTCCCACGAGCTCGAGGGCGTCCGCCTGACCGACACTAACGTTACTCACCTCTTCAACGAGTTCTTCGCCTTCTACCACCCCTTTCTCCCTTTTCTCAACATCCGTCAGGCCCCAGATCAGTATAAGCAGCAGCATCCCCTGCTGTTCTGGTCCATTGTTGCCGTCGCCGCCCGCCGCTTTAGTCCGCCAGACTGCCCCAACCTGCTCACCAATCTCTCGGGGCCCATGACGCGCTACCTGTGGACGACAATAGGCGAGGTTCCCAGCAACTACCATGTCGTAAAGGCCATGTGCCTCCTGTGTACATGGCCTCTGCCTACAAGCACCACCACCTCCGATCCGACCCATGTTCTCTGCGGCGTCATGATGAAGACTGCCACGGGCATCGGCCTGCATCGCCCCAACCATATAAGGGATTTCTCCAGGGTCTCGGTCGAGCTGAACAAGGAACAACTGCATGATCGTGTCACCACGTGGGCTGTCTGCAACATTGTCGCCCAAAACGTCGGAACCGGCTACGGTCAACCGGCGTCTACCCTGTACGACTGGACCCTCGCCCTTCGCCCCGGTGATGATCCGGCCCTGCACTTGTCTCGGGAGCTGGAGGCCAGACTCCAAATCGAGCGCTTCTGCGACAAGGTCTCAAAGGAGATGTACAGCAACGCCAGCGACCCGCGCGGCGTCGCTGGCGACGAACATCGTGCTATGCTCATGAGGGTCTATCGTCGAGACTACGGTGAGCTGCAGGCCTCGATCCTCTCCCAGCAGCTTGGGGCCGTTGTGAACCTGCATCTGCGCGCCGCGGCTCTGCACATGCGACTAGCTGGCTTCTTCGACTCGAGCAAGACGCCGGGATACATCGACGACCTCATGGGCCTCTGGCGGGCGGCAACCAGCTTCCTAGACGAGATCCTCGAGGTGGACAAGAGCACGTCCCCGCGCGACACCAGGGGCGGCACGACGACAATCCTCTTCTACACCACAAACTACCTGCAGCAGATGCTCGTCGCGGCGGCCTTTACACTGCTCAAGCTCATGAGGTCCTTTTTCTGCAAAACAATTGACTTTGACCGAGGGCGCAGCCTCTTCCACCAGTCGATCCAGGCCATCCGGGCCACGAGCGTTGTCAACAACGACCTGCAATGGCGGCTCGCCGAGCTCATGGCGCAAATGTACAACGGGGCTCGCCTTGACCACAACCGGAATCACGCCCTCAACAACGATGACGATTCGTCCATTCAGGTCGACGACAGCCTGCAGCTTAAGGTGCGCTGTCGTCACAGCATGAGTCTTGTTTTCGATTCCGTCTGGCGGTGGAGGGAGGAGTACCAATCGGCCGGGAGGGGTTCGTTGGAGAGTAAGTGTCGCTCTGCCGCCGGCCGCCCCGTTCCCCCCTTGCCTTTCCCGGGCCTTGGCTTTGGACGCCTTCGCCGAGTCAAGACATGCATTCGCGACTGACATGGCTCTCTTGTGCCAGACATGAAGCAACCGACCAATCCTGATTCTGCCAACGAGTCGTCGGCGTCGTCTCAGCTCGAAAGCACCCTGATGCCGTCCCATGTCCCCTCCACCACCAATAATAGCATGCTCAGCACGAATGGCGCCCTCACCCCAGGCGCTTCGGGACTGTCAGCCACCGCGTCGGGTCCCAACAGCATGATTGGAGGGGCGATGAGCTACGGCGACGCAAACTACGACTTCTTTGACCCCCAACATTGGATGTTGGATGGATTGCTCGATTTCAACTATTCCTTTGTGGCTCCCCTCGAAGGGGCCTAGAGCGGCCTAGAGTTTTGATGAGCGCACATGAAGGATGACTCGGATCGACATGCATCAAGGAGAATGGCCGGCCTGTTGGAGCACTAATCTCTTCCTTTCCCTGTTCTCGCTTCTCTCCCCTTTGCCGGCGTCTTGCCGGATACCCACGTTGCCCATGATCCTGCGATACCTTTTTGTTTCTCTTTCCACTTACTTTTCAATGCCATATTGGGTTGGGCCAGTCGATACACCCCAAGCTCTGCTCCGGTCGAGCAGCCTTTGGGATACTGTATGCACATGGGGTGCTGGGCAGGACATAGGCCTCCCCGTTTGATTCTCCGTTCACGGTTCGGCCACGGGCGACAGGCCACGTGCGTTGCAAGCCGGCGTGAGATTGTTTCTTGCTTGGATACCACCGCTTCAGGGCGATGACGCCGAAATTGGGTTGCAAGTTGAATTTCTGGAGGCACGGAGATGACCGACAGCGTTGCGATCCTCGGCAAGTGTACTCTTGGCTTCAATAATAGGCCTTGGGGTAGGGATAGTGCCAGGGGCAATTTGTCGTCTGTCCATGATGTTGATAATGCATACAAACGCGGTGGTCTTGGGAAAGCGATACTCCTTCGGTATTCGACGGTCCATTCATGGGTGTAGCGTCGGGAAATGGTACGCAGAAATGTCTACGATGGTGACAGACTTGTTCTCGGGTGATTCGTCCTTTTGCAATAGTCAAGCTATTACTTGCCGTTGGCGACTTCAGTTTGTCTGACGTGCCGCCGCACTCGAGATGCCAGCGTCATGGGCTTGACTAGAAGGTCGAGACACAGCTTGCGCTGCTGTCTCTGGGCAGAGATCAAGTGTATGCTCGTCGGCAGGCTATGGGCCACCTGGCTCCTGTCCTTTTTCATCTCTCTTCTCTCCTCCTCAATCACCACCCTGTGCTCTCTGACTTCCTCGCTCATCCTCCATTATTCTTTCTTTTTTTCCTTCTCCCCAGTATCTATTGCGTCGCCCCTCCGCCCTCGGTCGTTATTCCCGCTCCACGGTCTCGGATTCACTGATGTGGTAGGCATCAAGCAAGGGCGGGTACGCCGGCGAGTTCGAAGCGCTTCTGTTATGCTGTTGAAACGAGACAAGGCGAGGTTTCCAGCTTTTCGACGAGAAAGAGGGAAAAGCATGAAGCAGCTTCCTGTCTGGCGAATTCAGTCTCGAGCCGTCTTTTCGTTTCCCCTTGGCCGGCGGAGAGAGCTGCCGCCGGCAAAGGGGGGAGACCGGCGGAGACACTGTACGACGCAGTCAGTTTCGGGGTTGGAAACTCATATCTCATCTGTAGTTACGTAGAAGACGGCAATTGAGGTCCGATGGGATCGGAAACCTTGCCGTCCCCTGCCCAGGCCACGACAAGATCTACGGATGACGGAGCACGAGCTTCCCCCTCCCCCTCACGCTCCCCTTTCTGCCCCTCCCAACTACCTTGTTGGCCTGTGTCCCTCTCCGCGCGTTGGAAGTGAAGGGCGTCAGGATAAGAGTGAAAGAGGAGGGGGAGGGGGGGGGGCGAGAAAATCTCCAGGCTCCGAAGCGTTGGCCGAACGAACAGCCGCAACACCTCTCTCGCAGAAATCTGCCTCCTTAGCAGAGGGGGGGGGGGCATGGGGGAGCTGTTTTCCCATGTGTGTTGCCCACGGCGCGGCAGGAAACGACGGGGCGAGCCGCATCTGCGTCTCTGTTGTGTTTTCTGTTCTTTTTTTCTGTGCCGTCTCGTCGTCCCAACGGCTTTCCCCGGACGCAGGGCCGTGTTCCCCTTGTTGTTCTCCGGATCAGTGAAGATGTGGTTTCCGCCAACTCGTGTTTGGGGCCAACTTGGAAAAGAGAGCGGCTGGGGAGGCATGGGCGAGGCTCCTGCACTAGCAGGAGAGATGAGAGAGAGAGAAGCAGGAAAGCTGTGGAGTGAGAGGGTGGGAGGGCGCAGAGGCAGCTTCCATACGCGGAGTACTAGACCAGATGGGTAGAGCATCGCCCCCGGTCTTCTCTCGAGGCTCGCCCCCGGTACTGGAAACGCGAGCATGATTTGGCAGCCGGGCAGGGGAGGGAAGATCGGGGGCATGGGATGGGATGGGACTGCTCCCACGGCTGAACGGATAGACGGCCGAAGCGAAGAGGCTCCATCGGACTCGCCTCTTCGCCTCGTCCTTGGCATTACGCGTAGCGCCTTGTCCGCAAGCACAGGGTCATCACGGACGGAAACGGAGATGGGCAAAGAGGGGCGAGGAGGAACAATCTCTCTCAAGAATGATGGCTCTGGCAACTTGTACATTTTGTCTCGATACATTTTCCAGGCTCCAAAGGGGGGGGGGTCACAAGGGGAGAAGGTTTCCTGCAGAGTTCGGCCTCTATCAATCAAAGCGGCGAATGAGACTCCAAGGCAGCCGACGCTTGCAATCTTTCTTGATTCCATAGACGCCACGCCCCAAAGGCTTCAATGTAATAGCCTCACGATGCCGTCTCCGCAATCTGAAACCAGAGGGGGGGAGGGGGGTTGGGGTAGTCAGGGCAAACGGAACGAGGCTTGGGATGCGAACCAACAGACACTCCCTGACAGAGACTCCCACGATCCTACGACCAACGGGCAAAGATGCCAGACAGGACAGCCGGACAGGGGACCTTGGTTGCTTGGCTACGACTTTGGGGGATTAGGAGCGCGCTGCTGCCCTTGCTTCTTGTCGCTTTTCAGGTTTGCTGAGTTAATCCACCACTGGAGCACCCACGATCGACGAATCCAGCATAATACGACAAGGGGAGGGTGGCGAGGGCGGGCACACACATACACACACACACACACACCCTCCCCGGCATCCTGACAACGTTCCTGGCACTGGCAGCTTCCCAGCTCGGCTGCTGTTTGATTCGGCCGTGGAGAAGAGGAGATGATGGACCGACAGGCATCCAAGGGGAGGGTAGGGGCGGGGCGTGGGCAAGATGAGTCCCACGAGCCTGTTTCTCTCTCCACAGGCATCTATTTCGTTCTAGGCGGCTCCGCCAGCTGGGATGCTTGCTGAGCCTACCGCACTGCCCGCGAATCGCTCCGTGCCATATGGGATAAGAGACCGGCGGGCCCCATTGCCTTGCATAAGTCTTGATTGTCGCAGCTCCTCGCCTGCATGAGCGTCCAGCAGCGTGACAGCTCCGGAAGAAGGGCAGGTACAAGCATGCTGGCACGCCAAGTCAAGTGGGAGAGCCGACAAAGGGCATCGTGCTGGGGTTGCTTCCCAGCTCCCACCCCCCCCCCCTCTTCACCCCCACTGGGGAAAGCAGCATCACTGCCTCCTCCACGCAGCGGTCTCTGAGAGAATTCGTACCCCACGAGACCCCCCAGTAACTGGCTCGACCGCCCTGGACGATGCCGAGCCCTACATCGTCTGTAAGTGATTGGGTAGATGACTGGGCCCCGTGCGCATTTGCAAGGTTCCGTTGCTATTTGATCGAAGGACGGTCTGGCCCTTTTGCCCCTCCTCCATCCCTCCCCGGCAAGTAGTAAGAGAGGAGAAGAGAGTGGAAGACTGGGTAGGCAAGGGGATGGGGGAAGATGAGGGGGAGAGAGGAGAGACGGAGGAAAGGGGGGAGGGGAGGGGTTTGATCAAGAAATGAATTGTCGTATTGCTTTCTCTTGGGACGCAATGGTGGCGAGAGGACTGGACATGCTACCATCATACCACGCCTGAGGAAAGAAGTCCTAGGACAGGGAAGACGCACGGGAAAATGGAGCCAGTGTCTGGCCAGGGTCCCACTCAGATCTGATGCCTCTCCCGTTGTATCTGGTGGGCACTCGAGTCCCAACCACGGGGCTTTTTTTGGCTTTTGGCCAAGACGGCATCCGCGACAAGGAGTGGTCTGTCTGCCAGAGGCTGCCATCACGGCGACTCCTGTCGTCGGGTTACCGCTTGAGAGAAGCCGTGCCATTAAGCTTCGGCACAGACCCGATGCTCAATAGCAAAAGGGTAGCAAAGGAAGAGGGGGTGAGGGGGCGTCATTCAACCTCTCGACAGCATTCGCCGTCACTTCGGGCCGGGTCATTTGGCATGGGGGCACGGAACAATGAGTGGCATGGTAATGGCACACGGCAGCCTCCAAAAGGTGCGGCTCGGAGCAAACAGCGAGCAGTTGGCTGGCCGACGGCAGCCCGGCGTATACACCTCTACCGACTCGGGTAGCATTGTCTGGGGGAAAGGGGGAGGCGTTGTTGGGCCAAGCACGAGAAGCAGAACATGAACACATCTCGGCGCCACGGCGCCGTGCGCATCACCTACCGGAGAAGCCGGGATATCGTCAACAGCTTTCTGCTGTTGTCTGTCGAGACTGGGGCGTGACAAGCGGCCAACAGGCGGCCACGTTTCGGCGCAGACTCTCACAAGGACGGCGCGCTTTCCTTCTCCCATGGCTGGCCAAAGCTATGATAAGCCGCATCCGGGCCGGGCGAGCGCAAAGGGAAAGAGACAAGTTGGCAAGCGGTCAAGCCCATGTTTGCCTGGCGTTCCAACGACCCGGACACTCGGTAGCGCCCAGGTTGCATGAGGAGACGGGCCAACCAGGAGGCTGATATGCCGCGGCCGAGAGGAAGAAACAGGATGCGGGCTTGCTTTGCTTTGCAGCTGCATGCGCGCAAAAGTCGGCCGACACGACGCCGCGAGCGAGAGTCGAGTGGGAATCGCGAACCAAGGATGGGGCCACCTGCTCCCTCGAGAAGGGTGGGGAGCCGAGCCGGCAGACAGGAGCAGCCTTGCTGCGGCCCTTGGGCGCTTATGTAGATGCGAGCCGACGCTGTTGGTGATGGGGCACCGGGTCAAGGAGACTCTGCACCAACTCGAGCCGCGAGAAGCGGTTGCGGACGCGTCCTTAAGCGACGACAGCCGCGGGCCGCGTCTCGAGAGCGGACGGCAGATAACGGAGGCCTGGTCAGCTTCCTTTCCAGGATGGACCATGTGAGGTGGCCGTGGTTTCGTAAGGGTGGCACCACGTCAGGCTGG